CATTAGTTATTGGTACGTGTTGTTTAAATTGACACTTGTGTGACAAAAAAACTGTAACCACATGGGACTATAGAAGCTTATATACCCTATGTTTCGGGTGAAAACAATGGGACCTTGCCGAAGGTCCGATGAAGTGGTGAAGACTAGATTCGATCCAAGAAATGTTGGGCCGAAGGTTTCCTGCACAGTAAACACACGTAAACTAGCCTCGGGGGTGTTGCCGAGGAAGGCCCCTCCGATGCTAAAGTCAGTACAGTGTGTAGAAAGAGAACACTATGCAAGAGAATTAATTGCTTGAGGCTTTGCTTGAATGAATGTACAAATGTAATATTGATGGCTTTTATACCTCTGCATACATGGAGAAGTTGGGCTTTAGCCCAATTGGCGACCTTGCGATTAAACTGCCCATTATCCGTCCAACTTCCACAATCATCCGCCTTAACCGTTGTTATCTCATTAATTACGGTTTAAATTCAAATTTTTGGATTAATTAAATCATTCACTTCCCTCCTTTTCTGATTAAATCAAACCCGACCCGTCATCCTTCCAAATCGAGTCTGGGGGGCAAGTTGTTTGGGTCCAATTTAGTCCAATTGGGCTTAGGCATTAAATGATCCAATTAAAAGCCCAAGGTCAAGGTTCATCTCTCCAATTGTGCTAAAGTCAAAGATCAGCCCTCAAGGCAAGCCAATTGGGCTAAAGCCCAACTTCTCCATGTATGCAGAGGTATAAAAGCCATCAATATTACATTTGTACATTCATTCAAGCAAAGCCTCAAGCAATTAATTCTCTTTCATAGTGTTCTTTTTCTACACACTGTACAAACTTTAGCATCGGAGGGGCCTTCCTCGGCAACACCCCCGAGGCTAGTTTACGTGTGTTTACTGTGCAGGAAACCTTCGGCCCAACATTTCTTGGATCGAATCTAGTCTTCACCACTTCATCGGACCTTCGGCAAGGTCCCATTGTTTTCACCCGAAACACCCTAAATTACAAAGTTGATGCAACAGCCTTTAACGAATCCAAAAGGCACTCGAACTGATAGATTGAGATCGAGAGTATTTGGAGAAATGACGACAATTATTTGTGAATAAAATAACAACAACAATATATTTTATACTTTATTATATATATATGTCTAACAATCACTTTTGTATACACCCGGTTTTCAGTAATTTACTGTACATCGAGTTCATTTTTGTCAAATTTAGTGTCACTTTTGTCAAATTTAGTATCACTTTTGTGAAATTTATCAATGAAGCATAAATAACTTTTATATATGTCAGAATAACTTTTGTGCGTTTTAGTGTAACTTTTGCACCTTTTATTGTCACTTTATAACGAATGTTCAGTGATTTACTGAACATCCGTTTTATTTAAAAGTTTGTGTATGTCTAAATATCCACCACATTTTAGATATAGTCGGCAATTACTTTCCATTTATAGGATTATTTAGTACTCCTATGACATATAATGGATATCACATTATAGTGGAAAAAACTTTGTCCATACTGTAGCTGCCGACTCATATACTGGTAAAGGATATGCTTTTATGATTATAGACATAGTAGTATACGTGGTGAATAATGCAAATTTTAGCTAATTCAACTATCCCTATAACAAATTAACACAATTGATTTTGAATCAATTATGCTCTTGAAATTTAATTATGTCAAGTTTTATGGTATATTTTTGTATGCAAGTTTTATATTCTTGGCTTATATATTATTAACAAGATGCAATGCAACTTTAATTTACTTGTGGAGTAAGGCCGGAGTGATCGAGATGTAGGGATCAAAATCAACCTCTATAACAAGAGTCATCTAATAAACTTTACGAGCAATATTTATACACGAGTTAGTAAACAGAGTATTCATTATAATTCATCAATAACTATAAGACTTAAATACGATATATTTAAGGGTTCACTTGATAACCCTAATACGGAGTAGTTTACTTAAGGTATCTTCCAAGAAACGTTCTGACGGATTCACTTTTTCGTTATATTTTCATTTACCCATGTGCAAACATGTCTGTTATAGCAAAAATATATAGAAATAAAAGTAGATCATGATTATAATGATCAATTGTATAGCACCATGCATGCCTATCAGCCTATATAGCTTCTTTCACAAGGCTTTATCTTCAAAGATTCGTCAAACATATACTAGCATTTTCCCTACCTCTCTCGATCAATATCCACACAATACTCACAACTCATACAAGCTTGAGCTATATATAGAGCTTTCTTTTGTCCTAACTCCTAATTCTATTCCACTCACTTAACCCTTGACAACCATATAAAGACATCATATTACGTTACATAGTATACATATATAACATTATATAGTGTAGATCTCGGATCGGAATATTTACAATATCTTCATTAATTAAGGATTATATTGTTATGATCCTATATACTTTGCTTAATATTCCTTCCACTTCCTTGGTTAATTATCTAATTTCAAAAAGAGTCAACATTGTTCTACCATTTTGAAGAGACACATTACACGTAAATCATATTCTTTTTTACATGCAAAAGATTAAATAGTGTCTTCGTAGAAATTTGATCCTATATCCAACAAATTAAAGAATATGAAAGTGACATTGTGACCTGGCCATAGCATTTGTAACTATCATAACTATTGACTAATTAGCCAGTAAATTAATATATATCCACTTTAAATTATTTTAAATGAATATTATCATCCTAATACTACTTGGAAATTAAAAAAATGTCAAATAATCTATATGTACAAGTGTATAACCTTATCATTCTTTACAATTGCATGCAATAAATAATATATACCTTGTATTAATAGGAAAAGGTACATCCATGTATCCCATACACTACTATATAGTCATTCCATCATACATTACACAAAATCTAATTTAGAATGAGTTATTAATTAATTAAAAAGATCCTAAACCAAAACTTTAGTCAAAAAAAAAAAAAAAAAATTCATTAACCAAAACTAAGATTTTTTAAAAAGAAAAATAGAGGAGTGGACATAATTTTTTTATATTTATTTATTTATCTATTTATTTGTTGGAATTTAACCACAAATTAAAAGTATAAGATACACGAGTAGATTGTAAGTATATAAGAACATAACCTTAGCTCTTGTAGCTCTCATAGTCTGGATGATTCTTTTTCTAGATTGTAAACTCTTATAAGCTAGATTATTTATTATAATCGAACATATTAAATTTGTAAATAAGCTAATTGTTTTTTATTTATTTATTTATTTATTTATTTTTTTTATAGTTTATACGTACATATATAGAGAAGATCAGAAGATGCATGTCTAGGTTTTTCTAATTTGGTTTGCAATTTAATTTTTGGCTTGTTGATATGCTTTTCTGCATTATGAGGAAGTTAAAGCTAGTCTTTACACTAACAACAAAATTGATGATTTATGTGGTCAAGTCATACATTCTATTTCAAGATCTGATCTACTTCATGATTCAAATATTCTTCATACGTAAACACGTAGTAGTAATTAATTTTGTTCATAACTAGTCGTTAAAGAAGAGTTGTATTTAATTTATCCAAACGAACACAACACCTAAATTAAAATCCTAACAACAAAAAATATTTTTTTCCATAAACTAACTACCCTAATAATAATTATGTATCATAAGGACCAATTGGCCAAAGAAATAATCCAAAAGAAAGTTCAAAACGGAAGAAGTGACATATTTGGACGATCCAAAATAAATAAGATAGGGTATAATCTTATGATATATATTGAGAAAAGATATCATTTTTCCCCACATTATAACTAACTGCTAATGAATCCACTAGAAATTCGAAGAAAAAATAAAATTAAAAATAGTCGCCACAACCAATCATTTCCACAGGAAATCAACAAATTTATTAAATAAATGGAAAAAAAATACATCTTTCAATTTCATAAGACTAGTAATGCTTTCACTTTCGCACATATTAGTGTACTACCTCCGTTTCATATTATTTGCAACGATTTGACACATATTATTTGCAACGATTTGATATAAAATGTAAGTCGTAGAAAATATATAATCTTTGCAAATAATATAAAACGAAAGAAGTATATGTATAGTTGATAAGAAATTTAGTTGCGTAAATAGTGCAAAAGTTAAAGTGTTTCGATTATTATGAAACGCATGTATTGGAGGAAATATAATACAAGTATAATGAATATTTATATGGTGGTCTTGTATACACCGTGACACTCCCCTTTTTAATTTACTAAAGAAGACAAATATTGGAAAGAAGAGAAAAATATATGGGTAAAGTACTAAGAAAGAATAGTGATTGGACAAATTTTGGGTAAGCAAAACTGAGGGCCCACTTTGTAGTCCAAGTGGGTAATGGAACCATGTGCAATCATATGGTAGTTGGCCCTTCTTAGGCCCACCTTTTACTCACTTTTCTTTTCTTTTTTTTTTTTTTCTTTCTTCTAAGCCCTCTTTTCAAATTCTTATAACCTTTAAAACTTTATTTATGCTACTAACTATCAAGGACTAATTGTCTACATTTTGCAAGTTAATTTGATTTATGGGAGAATTGATACCACTAATATAGTGGGGTTAATTTTTAGGAGGGTGAGAGTTTGATGAGTATTATGGACCATAGCAAGACTTGTTGGTGGCACATCTAATATCTTGTTGTTGATGTTATAATATACTTCGAAATTTGTAATTGAATTTAAGAGTTGTACTTTTTAAGGTAAGAATCAAGTTGAAAATTAGTACATAAGGTTTGTAAACCAAATCACTAACATCTAACCAATATGTAGTCTTGAACATTAAAGTAATTTAGTGATTAAAACTGTAAATTGGTAATTCTTTTGGTTTAAAACACTATATTGACAGATATACTGTATTCATATACTTAAAATGAGATAAATAATCATCCCAAAAGTCATCAATGTGCATATATTTGACCAACTCACTACATACTCGGTAGTTGATTTCTTCAATTTAGACTTGAAATCTTTCTTGATAGACTAAATTAATGTCTCCCTTGACTACCCCAAAAGAATTTCATATCTAATTTGTTTTAATTTAGCATAAAGAGAGTGAATTGATTCTCAAGCTAAGCTTCCTTCTTCATTCTTCTCTAACTACAACCGCCCATTTCTCATCTCTTACTTTATTTAATTTTTCTTCCTCCCCCCATTCTCTTCACATGTTTGTTCCACCCCCTCCAACCAATTAATTGGCCCCCAAACACCCTCCCAATAAAAATAAAAACTTTTCTAATTTTTCTATTTTTAATTTAATTTAATTTAATTTTATAAAAACCCCAAGCTGATCAACAGTCAAGCCTCCTTCCCCACCCTCCCTAGAATTTCTCTTGTTGGTTCTCCTAGTTCATTGGGTATAAGTACAAAATATGTGTCAGATTTTTAGTCAGAAGTAAAATCTCCTTTTGTCTTTCTGACAATAGGACCCTTTTGTGTCAGAAAATTCACCAAAAAAAAAAAACCTACAAAATCTCTTCTTCTAAAATCCAATTTTTTTTCTTCTGCTCACAAAATTTCGCCTAGATTTTAGAACCATTTATACTCATTATTTTCCCAAACAAACCCTAAAGAAAAAACATCCCAAAAAAACAAAAATGAATTCTCATCAAAATCAACGTCTTATACCCTTAAACCTCAAGTCACTAAGAACAAGATTTGCCCTTCGTTTCCTAAAAGCCCTAAAAAAAATCAACCGCCAAGAAAAAATCCATAACAATAATGGCAGTGCTTGTAATGTTGTAATGATGAATCATCATAAATTCCACAAGATTAAGGTGGCTGCTGATGCATCCATGGCCGCGGCCGTTGGTCCAAAACGGGCGTGGAGCCGGGCTGTGCTGTCGAGGATCCGGCTTAGCTGGTGGCGGCGGCGTGGGTTGTTGAGAAGAGATAATATTGTTGCTAGAAAGCAACGGCGAGGCGCGGTCCGTGGTGTGATGACTCAACAAGGACAAACACAAGAGCTAAGGAGGTTGGTGCCTGGTGGAGAACAAATGGATATGCAAAAATTGTTAGATGAGACTGCTCATTATATTAAGTGTCTTACTACTCAGGTAAATGTCATGAGAAGTATTGTTAATTACTGCTCTACAACGGTTAATTAATTCTTAATAAGTTAATTAATAAGCTAAGCATGTAATGTAATACTCCTATATGTTTATTATAGGGGTCCTAAAAAACAAAAAATAAAACTATATATATAAAATGAAAGGAGGATTTATATAATAAGGTTTGATGAGTAAGCTTAAGGTGAGGTTGTTGTTGGTCAAGGTAGTATGGAATTAATTAATACAGAAGATGTAACATATGTTTGTAGATTATTCATCATGTTATAAACATAATGAAATATATATAGTTTGATATAAATTGTACATTAGAGGTAAAAGACTTGGTGATTTTTGTTTTTTAACTTAATTTTTGTTTTATGAAGAAAATTATAAATGATTTTTTTTTTTTTTTTTTTTTTTTGTTTTTCCTTGTATTTCCTATATTGTTGCTTGATAGATTATAAAACATACTCTATCATTGTTCTTGAGTTATTCAATAATTAAAAGTCTTGAACAAAATCGGACAAATAAGAAAAATACTTATAATAATCTAAGTTTCTTATATTAGAAACTATTGATGTTGGTAAAAGAGATTTTGATGTAAGTACTTCTGTACTTATTGATACATGAATGAGATTTGAAGATAATAAGGAACGTCCTGTCAAAAAAAAAAAAAAAAAAAAAAAAAAAAGATAATAAGGAACATAAGTTTAATTATTGATTGTGTTCCTTGGTTTATTTCTAGATCGGATTTCAATATATTTGATTATTTGAGCCTTTTTTTTCCCTTGAAATTACTAATGGAAGATAATTAATTTAAGTTTGGTTTTAAGATCATAAATATAGCCTTAAAACTCCGTAACACGGTAACACCACATCTTTTGATGAATTTTTGAACTTGTTTTACCATTTAAATCATTTTCATTCACTAAATTGGTAGGGATACTTTTAACCATATAGCCTTTGTACGATGTACTTTTTTTAGTTTAGAATAGATTGCTCTCAACATAATTTGTGACTCGCATTGATGTTAGTCACAATTTATAAAATGGACAATTTATAATATTTCATTCACAAAAATTAGAAATCAAAATTATCTTCAATTGAACATCAAAAAATTTATCTATGATTCCCTATATTGGAGCTTTTAATTTGTGGTATGATGAAGGTATCGTGGACAAAACAGTCTTGATCGTACGCTTATTGCTTGTATAGTAGAAGGAATCTTGCTAAAATTAGCTTGAACTTGATTAGAATTAATTTGAATCCATATATTGTGTTTCTACAAGTCTAAAGATCCCTTAAAATAAACATACAATAATAATATAACAAGAGTATAAGAAAGATCTTATTGTTATGTTGGTGATCTAACTAATAACAATAATAATAATAATAATAATAATAATAATAATAATAATAATAATAATAATAATAATAATAATAATAATAATAATAATAATAATAATAATAATAATAATAATAATAATAATAATAATAATAATAATAATAATAATAATAATAATAATAATGCTTCTAATCCTGCATTAATCAAATCCAGCTAGCTAATATTGTAATCGAATCATCATAAATATGTAGCTTGATACTCAAGCATCCAGAGAAAAAAGTTAAGATAACAAGATTAGAATAAGAATAATTAAGGACCATGTAGCACTTTAATTATGTAAAATGGACAATTCATGCCTGGCAACATGAACTAATTATTGTAGCTGTATTTAGGTGATTAAGAGAGGAAACAAAGATTGTCTCATTCTTCTTTTGGTTTATAATTAGATTTTGTCATTAGTTATAGATTTCAAAAACAAAAACATGTGACTTAATAATCTTTTTTGCTATTTTGATAAAAAAAATAAATTGTTATTGTCAATTTAAACACTCAAAGTTTAATTATATCATAGGTATATACTGATAACACTATATCTTAGGGGTTGTATGGGAGTTACACCAAATTAACACGTTTAATCCATAGTTTTGTACATGTTTCTAGTTCGAATACTGTAATTTGGTGCATTAGCTAGCCAGGAGCAGGCGGTAGATGGGGAGGAGAATCTGAACTGAAGTAAAGACGAGCGCCTTTATACATCATTCGTCGGTTCATCCTACATTATTCCAAGTAGTACATACGTAGGATTTATTGAATGGATACTATGGTTAGTATATATGATACTAATATGAACAATTTCATCGTTGAAAATAAATAATCAAAATCTTATAAGGCTAGGAGATTAAACTGCTAAGATAATTAAAGGCTTCTTTAATTATCTTGAAAATTTAATGTCGTTTTCTAGCTTCCATATCATCCGCACGGATATTTTGAGTAAACTGTACACAAACATCCATCCCTATAAAGATAGACTAGGTTGCGTAGAGTATATCATACATTCTGAAAGGAACATCAACTACATTATTACTATTCCGTATGGCAACTATTACTCCCTTTATCTCCATTTAAAAGTGATTTTTTCAATATTTACCAACCTACTGTATATGTAATAAGATTAGATTATGAGAACAGAGGGAGTAATTTTCTTTATATATATTGCTGGAAAGATCAAGTACATGCTACATCCGATGGAATAGTTCCGTAGTTTGCACACCAATGTGTTTTTGGTACTCAAATAGTAGAAGGTATAAATAAGGACCGATGATTTTCGAAAAATGATACATGAATCCTTTAGAGTTGCAAATAATAAGTATTTGTTAAACCATCTCACTATATCAACCAACATATGAATTGTCATAGAGTTCTAAACTTCATAAAGCTAGCGAGTATGATATTAGAAACTATATTTGATTCTTAAAATTTGCATACTTCAAAATCGATGATAATATAAACTTATAATTTTTTTTAATTTGCATTTTTTGTCTAGCTAGCAAAACCAAATTCTAGCTTTCTAGTTGAAAGTTAGTTTAGTCAGTTAATGTGTCAGGAGATTATTGTGCATTTTTTATGGAAATGTTGAAGGATTGTTACTACAAATTTGAGTTTGAAATTAAACCCATTCATCACTTCATCTCTAAACCGTGTTCACGCATTAAAAACAAGTTATGTCTTAATTATAACTATTCTGCACATCACATTAAGGGTAGTGGTTGTGTGTCTAATACACTTTTTTCTCCTTTCTTAACCATTTTGCTCTAGCTAGTAGCTAATAGAAGAATCAACAATCATATATTTCCAACTCTTAAAGGATTATATATCTTAAGTGTAAAAAAAAGCATTATTATCTAAAGATACTTTCAAACATCCCAAAATAGTAAATCGAATTTTACTTATTACCTTAAAGATAAAATGACTTCATATATGATAATTGAGTGAATTTTCACCACAACGTGGAACACAATGTACAAAATATATGCATAGCCAAAACATTTCTACAATGTAGATAAATTTGAAAAATAAAATAAAATAAAATAACTACTTCAAAGATGATTATTAACTCAAAACAAAATTGGACAACATTACAATATTACAATCAACATCACAATCTTAAAATCAAAAACATATAATCATTAGATTATAGATTGAAGGCTCTAGATTTAATCTTTTATTGTACATACAAATATACAATCCCTTCTTCAGATATACATAAATTCGCACAACCTATCTTTAATCACCAAACAATCTGATCGTTAATAAACATGCCTTTATGAACAACACAAACCCTACACGGATCAAACACGACATCAATGAATCCACGCATAAATAGCTCACATCTAAACCATCAACTAACTCTAATAGTACTCATCTCATCAAAATTGAAGAGAAAAGTTGAAAAACAAAACACAAGTACTAGATAATAATGATTTGAAGCATGCACATGAGCAAACTTATTCGAATAAACGAAGTAAATGCAAGAAGACAAGAAGTGGGACAATTCATAATTTAGTAGACGTCCCACAAAATGTTTAAATCTTTGGAAATTTCATTGGGGTTAAAAGACACATTGATTTTGTAGGGCATATAAAATATAAACATGCACACCTTTCTAGGACATCTAGAAAGGCAAATGTCATTCATTATGACAACCACCATCCTTGTTATTTTCGTTATAATGGCGTAGCATCACTTAACACCATACTACGTAAGGAGATTATAAACTAGCTTTAGTGATTGGGAATATTGGATAAAGCACTTCCAACAAAAAGTGATTGAATGAATCATCTATGTTCTTTATTTTTATTGAAACTCTTTTAACATTAAAGGACGGACAAGATGATAAATATTACTCTAATGAGTATTCTAGCAAGGAAGAAGAGTGTATGTTGAAATTGATTTGAGCACGTTTTTAATTAATTTTGGCACGGAATACAATGCTCTAGATCACAAATAGTGTGTCAAAATCGTTTTTTTAGGTGTTGTGACACATTCAAATTTGACACACATGTATGCTTGATTTTTTTTTTTTTTTGATGAATGTTGTCAATGCACAAATTTGATATGTTATATATAATTAAACATTAATAAAAATAATTTAAAAAGTTAACAATATTAAAATTCACATTAATGTCCATTTAAAAACATATATATTACACTATTAATTGTTTTTCATACATTACTCAAAAGCAAGAGTCAAAGTTCGTAAATGAATTGAAAAAAGTCAAAATGTGTCAATTAATATGAAACGGAGAGAATAGTTAGTTAAAAATATTTCTAATGCAAAAATAGCTCAAATACAAAATTCAATCTTTCTCCCTTCTCCCCAAAACACCTAGCCTCCAAAACAATTGGAACAATTGGCTCTAGAAGTGCCATTAGAATATCAAATGATGTCACATAGATTTCGTATGCTATAAATGGATCGTATGGCTTTACATCCTCAAGTTTTCTACCTTGTAAGTCCAAGCTATCGATCAATCAGCAAGCAGAGTGTGCCTTAGCTCGGCGCTAAGCTAGCAGCTCTGGGACTGATCTAACTTTGAAGTTCAAGTGCCTTGAAGAATACTAGCTGAAGCTCTGAGGCAAAAAGTCACATACTATCAAGCAATTTGGCTAGCTGCTCCTTCCCTGACATGGTAAACGCACCAAGTCCTATTGTGGGCTTTTGTGGTATTGCCAACAGCTTCCTAATTATTTTGCATTCTTTTTCTCAAGTAATACTCAAAAGAAAACACCGCATCAGCGAATTCCCAAGGCAAATATACTCGCAACATGACCAATATTTTCTGGGTTATCACTTTGTAGCTACAAGCAAAACCCCTATTAAGAAGAACGCGAAAAGACAGAAACTAGATGAACTTAAGTGGTAATCACTTGAGAATTTAAAAGACAGGTTTTATTTACTCACCCTGACTTTCTTCTCACATTTTACTATTAGAGACATTTTATAATTCCTGCTTCACTACACGTGTAACTACAAACATATTTTGATCTATACAAGCTATCTAGCACATTTATTAACTATACATCCCAAGCATAGAGAAATAAAGATGTTAACACCAACGATGTAGACTAGCTTGACATACCAAAGCACGTTATAGAAGTCTTTGGCATTAGATTTGGGGAACTTCCATAGCCTTGCACTATATGTTCATATCATAGCAGTTAAAGTGCTGTTGCTTCACCTTTTAGCCATCAGAAAAAGGTAATCAGCTGAAGAACTGACCATCATTCTTCTTTAAGGCCTATGAACGTTGGCAAACTTCACTAATGTAGCATCAAGAAGCCTTAACCTTTGACTCAAACCAGGGAGTAATTGAGCTTTGTAGGCCTCTGATCCGTAGGCCATTGCCCCAAAAGGAGGCAAGGCTAAGACCCATGATAGCCATAGCAACTACAGAACATGCGGATGGAACGGCTTGACTACTACCAAGAAACTGGGTAGCAAGAAGCCCAGCTAGGGTCGAACTTTGCATCCCCGTGCACAGTGAGATTGTCCTGGAAACTTCTTCCTCCTGCCTGCAAAATTTTCAGACATGTATTGGTTTATTCAGGTCTAAATAGCACCAAGACTATTAGCTAATCACTACAAAGTTTGAAAGTAGATTAACTCAATAGATGAGAAAATATATCAAGTTTCAAGATACAAATGAGGATATTAAAAATTTCCATAAACCCACAAGCGAATCAATCAATACATTCAGCAAAAATCCATTGATGATATTAACTACGACAAAGCAAAATCTCAAAGAAAGTACGTAAAGATCTAGCAACCATAAGTTTAATGACTGTAATCTGTTCAGTTATTTGCACTATAAATAGGATTTCTCAGTATAAGAATTGCATATTTGGTGAGCTTTCTTTAAGTTTCAAACTAATATAATCATCATGGGTTTGTTCCGTGATTGATAGGTTAAGGAGAGGGGAAACACATAGAAACTATTCTTTGATGTATCCATTTGTTACCAATAATTGATTGAAGCAAATTTTTATTACTGGGAAATTTTCAAATAACAAAAATACCCATGTGCAATGTTGGACGCTCTGATGTGGATATGAAGACTTCAATTTGAGCCATAAAAGTAGTGCACTGCATAAAACAGCTGAATTTGACAATTATTGGACATGTATACGTGTCAAACAATATATGCTGCATCAAAATGACAGTGTCATGTGTCAATCAGGCTAGAAATGGCAGAAAACTAACCCGCATTTTCTATTAAAGATCTAAACAAGTAGGCACAACATAGTAGAATTACTAATTGTAATAATTACACAATCAATAACAATAGTGCAGGGGTTGGCACATGAGCAAAATACTGTTTATAACTCTACTAATCAACCAAATATTTGGCAAGCAGAAGAATATGATTTTGTATCTTTAATTACCTCAGATTTGGTAGTTTGGAGAGCCAATACCCTAATGTGAAAGACGCAGCATGAAATGCCAACACTGGGGCAATCAAACGAAAACCTTCAGCAGAAAGAATCCGACTACAATTTATTGCAAGGGGACTACCAATACACAATGAAGTGCAAGCCATAGCTACAATGGGCATCACTGGTTGAAGACGGTTGACAACTGCTTTGGCATAGGTATTCAGCAATAGACCAAGACTGATAGGAACAAGAACTACCTAAGAAAAAGCACAAGTCTAAAATCAAGTTAATTGAGTAATACACATAACCCAATTATAGCATGAACCTTTTTATGGAAAACTCAGTACCTGCAGTATAGACTTAGACATAGCAACAGGATCAACAGGAACAACGGACCCAATAAGAAGGCGTGTCAAAAGAGGAGTAAAGATAACTGATGCAATGGTTGAGGAGCTAGTCAACAAAATGCTCAATGCCACGTCCCCTTTGCTCAAGAAGGTGGCATAGCTAGATAGTTGAGCACCTGACACACATGCTGTGAGGACAAAGCCTGCATAGAACATAGGTGATACCCCAAATGCTTGAGCAATTAATACACCAAGGACTGGTTTTACCACGTATTGGGCCAAAAACCCAAGAGTAAGAGGCAAAGGCCTGCAGGTATAGAAACTCAACTGTATAAGTAAGGCTTTAAATACTAGTGAATATGAGGCCAAAGGGCTATGGGAAGTGTTTTAAGTACCTACCTTTGAAAAGCAAGAGCAAAATCATCTATAGATAATCTGATTCCGATAGACAGCATGATCCCACCGAGTGCAGGGGCATATAATTCTTTTGATACCCTGCGTTTAATAGAAAAACTGTTTTATCAGGATTGTACAGCAATGACTTTTTAGCCAAAACAAGCCCTTTTTCCATTTTTTTTTTCTCACACAAAACCTAAGCAATGATTTGCTCTTCACCTAAGACTGAATGCGCTCTTTCTAGTTCAGGACAACCTCAGCTATTTTACCCTTTCTATAGTACTTTCATTTAACATTTTCCATCCCTATGCTCTGCCTCAAAATGTACCGATCACTGAAGTGAGACATTATTTTTTCAGGCCATAGGAAAAGTAAAGAGATAATTTTCAACTATGCTCAAGCCCATTGGATTGATTCCTATGATTCTATGAACAATATTAACCACTTAAAGGCCTCACAGACAATCACACATTTTAGAAAAAACATGAAAGTTTTCTTAGTTTAACAAAGTGCAATTAATATGCTTCTTCCATCTGAGAAAAGGCTTAGCAATAGAGGTTTCAAAGTGTATGGGTGAGAAGTGAAGGCATGCAGTAGGTGAAGCAAAACTCACATTCACTTATTTAAAATTGTAGTCATTCAAATCAATTTTAGTATCAGCTACAATTCTAATGAATTTTTTTTGCGAAGTAAAAATGCATCATATCATATCAAAGGAACAATAGGACTCAAAAATAAAATTTCACTGTCCAGGACTCCAGAACATGTCTGAAGCCTCAAGATGTTCTGTGAGCTATAGTTCTATGAGCCTTGTCCCTCGCATCTCACGCACACTTTAAAAAAAAGTACAATATGCATGAGCTGAGGTTGTGTTAGGCTAGGAGAAAGATACTTTCAACTAAAATTATTTCCTATGAAAATTTATTACAAACACGAATTGATTTCAAAATTCATAAATATGTCATTCCTTAATTAAAGGGCATGCTTGGATTAAGGGTAGTGTATTAAGGGGTAATGGAAGAAAAATAAAGATATTGGAGGTAGATAAAGGTGAATGTAGAAGGAACAAGATAATCAGATATTGATTATATAAACAGGAGGGAGGAACGAGGAAATTAATACCCCTATTTTGGGGGTAATTGTTACCCACCACCACACTAAGGTAATGTTCAACACTTAAAATGAGGGTTATAGTTTCCCTTCCTTCTCTTCTTCATTTAATTATAACTCATTACAGAATCTATCCTATAGACCACCATCTAATTTCATTATCATTCTCTCTAATTTTCTTCGTTACCCCCTTAGCATACTACTCCCAATAAAAGTGTGACCTAAAAGGGAAAGCCTACTCCAGTGTACAAACCACTACACAGTGTACAAACCAAACACATCCTTAAACTTAGAAGGAATTATGGAGTATAAAATTGTATAAAACTGCTTTTTTATTTTTCTTTAAGGTACTCTGATATGGTAATAATAAGACCAACCTAACTCATCCTTACACATGATCAAAGAACGTCAATACGTCATTATACGAGTTAAACTAATACTGGGTACCTGATATTGAGTAGGCAAAACATAATTGCTTACATGATCACATTATTATAGCATTTGTAGTACTTTTTAAAGGCAGAACTGGCATGGACCGAAAAACACAACTTAGAATAACTAGTCAACGAGGGAGCCCCAGTTAATCTCAGGGATTAACAATTCTAGTTTATCTCCTCTCACAACTTTATGGATGGATTTATTGCCTCTCTATTATTTTACTTTTATCATTTAAAAAATAAAATAAAATGATTAGATTGTGAGAGGAGATATATTCACAGATTCATCTCAGAGAGAAACTTGAATTTACCCCTAGTCAACTATAGTACTACCATATTTATTAATGTTATGTCACCAAAGAATTTCCCTCTTGACAGGTAAGGAATAACCTTTACAAATAAACTATATAATTATTTACAAATAAACTCTTAACAAAAAGAACAAATAAGTACACAAAATTATTAAATTTTTTAATGACATCATCTGTAACTGCTAAAAGCAGCATGCAAAGAAACCTAATCAGCCCCCATAGAGATCCAGAGCATTCTAGAACTCACTAGATTTCACCCTGCTACTAGTACAAACAAATGATGTAAGCACGATCCGATTCTAGGATATCACCCCAATACTCGTACTTTAATCAAGTTAGTTGGCATCCACACAAATCAACTACAAGTATATTCATTCCACACCCAACAAAAATAGTAGGCCATGTATATAACGAGTGCAACTAAACCTGTTATATACAATACACCCGTTACACACAATTTTTTACCGCGCTCTCATAACATCATCAGTTATTCTCAAACAAAATAATTCTAAGTTGAGTTGAAAAAAATACAGTAAATTAAGAATTGGTTTTTAAGAATAGAGTATATACCAAGTAAAAGAGGCTGGTTGAGCGAGGGCGACGACTGCGGTGGCAACAACCACAAATGGAAGAATTGCCGACAAATTCTGAGAAACACCATCCTTAGAATCATCACTTGATATCTGATTACTAGTATCACCTCCAAATGATAACAAAGAAACATTTCCTAATCTTCTATGCAATCCAACTCTCCTTCCAAATCCAATAAACGGCGTCGTTGAGCACATATACACCGATAATCCACCATTAAAACCACCATTATTACCCCTTTTATGCAAATTCTGCAAATACCCAGAAATTTTACTCCCTTTAATTGCCTTCCTTTTGATTCTTAGACATAAATTAGAGCAGTTTAGAGGGTAATTAGATAAAATTGACAAGAAATTGTTTGTGATTTGGGGTTTTGATTGCAGAAACGAGAAAGCTGGAGACGATGACAACGATGAAGATAGTGATATAGCCATTCAATTTCAGAAGCAAATTGCAAAATTGAAATGGAAATGTACAAAATTAGCAAGAATTTATTGTGGGTTGTATTGATTAGAGGGTTTTAATGGGGTTTGGACATTTCTTGGAAGAATAGTAGTGCAGTAGTACTAGTCCACGACAGAGATGGCGAGGAAAGAGAAAGGAGAGGGAAGATATGAGGTGTAAAAGAGAGCTGGGATTAAGAAAAGACGGAGGAGAGAGAAATTTGGAAGTATGATAATTGACAAGTGTGTGTTTTGGTAATTTTTGTTGTCATTAAAACTCTTCATTTTGGCACCTTGAATTGATTCGATATGATCAATTTCTATTTGTCTACTTTTCTCTTAGGAAGTTGGAAGTGTTTAATTTTTCTATGACTTTGTCATGTTCACCAATTGGAAGGTGGAAATGTTGGTGTTTTATGGGCATTATTCATATGGCCTCTTGTTTTTTTAGCACTCGACTCTGACCATACCTTAATGTTTACGATTTTTTTTCAATATTTGTAGATTAAATATTTGAAAGTGAGGGTGAAAAGTAAGGGATTTCCACCCTTAAAGTGTTCCTAATGGGAATGATCCCTTAACTCAAGGTTGAAAGGTACAATTTTTTCCATTAAACCAAGCTTAACTTGGTGCACAATACGCTAAATTGAGTTTGTGTCATTAAAATTTGTAAAATAATACGGAGTATTAATTGTTGATTACATATTTAAATCATAAACTTGATCATATTCTAATTTGGTTTATGATTTAGTTTACAAACAATCACCTTAAGAGATTTGATTTGTGGTTTGTTGAGAAGGCAAGTTCAATCTTTCGTTTGTGCTAAGCATGCGCAATCAACACACAAATTGTGTGAATTCAATAGTATTCTAACTTGGTGATTCTAATTAGAAACAATCACATTTGAGCCTTGATTTATAAAATACATAATAAAAACAATTCGCTATCAACAACAAAATACGAAGAATTTCATGAAACCACCGTAAACATAAACGGAAAGTGAAAATCTCTGAATTACTAAAATCTTAGCATTTCAGCCATTTATAACATTTGGCATGGGTTATTGGATTTTTTTCCTTATTGGGCCTTTTCCTATCTTGGTGATCAATTCAATAATTACTTAATGAAAGGCCCATATGAGAAAACCCTTTCACTAAGTAAAAAAAAAAAAAAAAAAAAACCAAACAAACAAACAAGCCATTTAAGCTCCCAAAACAATTTACTCCGTAATTTATAAATTATAATTTGAAAACTTTCAGCATAGTGTCCAGTAGAATAGTAGATGGTTAGGCCAAGAACTCAGCCATTACTCTTTATATAGACTTTGATTCTTGTTATGGGCTCACATAGTCCAACCTGATACTAACACAGCATGGATCAGCCCACCAAGAAGGGTGAGTGACTGGACTGATGGTGGAACGCTACAAACTTAAATGGAACTGGCCTAACTTAATCAAGCATGGTTAACCCACTAGTACGGTTTCTAACCTGGACCAATCACTGAACCGGCCCGGTCGTATTTTCTAGTAACCATGTTGATTACCAACATACATGTTTGGTATATTATTTTTAAGTTCTGGAAATGAGGTCAATTAAGCATTTATATCACTAATTGTTCGCTTACCAAGCTAAGCTTGGCCTAATGAGTAGGAGAACATCTTTTAAACGGGATTAAAGGTTTATTTCAATCCCCACTGGGAACATTTTGGGGAAGAGGATCTCCTTACCTCTTAATCCCAAATTGCCTAATCCCCAAATTATCTAGCCTGCTAACTTGGAGTGGGTTGATCAGTATGGGAAACTGGCCTGGTAAAACCTTTCTTCTTACCAAAAAAAATTATAATCAATGATATTAGCGTTACCCTTCCATCTTCCTACTTGTTTCCATTGCATTTCCTTTCCTAGAACCAAACCAAATATGAACTTACATCCCATCCTAAAACCACCCAAATTAGCATATTGATCACCTCCACTATTATGCCCATTAACATTTCAATTTATCTCCCATCCTAAAACCACCCAAACTAGCATATTAATCACCTTCACCATTATGTCCATTAATGTTTCAATTTATTTCAGACAAGAAGAGAATAAGGGGCAGTTCTTTCAAAGGTTATCCTAGATCTTTTACGGAATTAACCCCATAGGAAAATAAGTAATATAATTTGGTCTTTCTTATAAAAGGACTAGGCAAAAGTGAGTAAAATGGTTTGCTAAAATGGAATCTTTTGTTCATAAGGAAAACTAGAGATCCCCGTGTACTCGGGTGGAGTTGAATAACAAGATTTTAAAGCTAGATTTGGAATTGTGGGAAGAGAAATACTTGCAACATAACAACATCAAAGTCAAAAAGAGTAGTGGTCCATGAAGCGTGATAGAAGCTAAAGAACCACCAATTTGAAAATGCAAATATGGCTAAGCCAAAAACTAATTATGAAAAAGAATCTCCACAACTTTATTGTACTAAATTATAGACCATGCATCATACTAAATCGAATTTGCATGAGATTGATTAGGTCACTTCTTTTTCAACTATTGCTACTTGAAAGAGGATTTCCGTATTACACATTGTCATATATATTGTCATATAATGTAATTTGGTTACGTAGTTCATCATGTTTCTATTTTACTGTAATTTGTTCTAAACCGAAGTTTTATAGACAATTAATTGTGTTATATAGTTTCAACTAAAGTTAGTATGGTATGTCATATCCTCTGCTCACATCTTATCATATTCTTGCTTACACCATTCTCATCTCCCCCTCCCACTCATTTTACCGTCATTAATTGGTTGCTTATCATCATCCATCACCTATGTTAGAATTTGAAGCTTCCTAAGTTTTACTACTTTCTAAGTTGAGTTTGACTCTTTCCTCCCCTTTAAAGGTTTTTTTTTTTTTTTTGAAAAGGATAAACATAGCCCTTAGAAGCTAAAAAAGGAAATATTGAGGATAAATTAACATTAATTACACCGATCTGCGCGTAATTTTGTCATGAATTCCCAACTTAATTCCATTTTAGAAAGTATATATAATGCTTATATATAACCCTAAGGGTTACATATATCATTACCCATTTTTTTTTAGTAACTCCTCCGTTTTCAAAAAATTACACCCAAAGAAGTATTCTTAAGTGGTTAGCCGGTGATTTTAACTGGTTGATTAATTATAGAGTGAAACATTTAATAAATTAATAGGTAATTGGGTATGGCTAGTACGGACTAGTAATAACTTAAATGCTTTCCTAGTACAAGACGTAAAAAGTTATCTTTAAAATCATAAAACTACATACGGTATTTCTAAACTATAGAAAAGTCATCTTGCTTATTAACTCTTACATGATTTTCAGTGGAGATATTCTCAAGTCACCTAGAGTAACTAGTTCAGCTAGCTAAGACTAGTATTCATAGTTGCAATCAGCAGACAGTATGGCATTACCTTTAGGAAAATTTACCTCTTACACAAATCAAAGTGAAGATCAAAGTCATCAAACTTCCAATCATTTGCTAAAAGTTTCACTTTGATTATTGAGACCCAAAAAAAGCTCATAGATTAGAGAATCAAAAAACAAGTCAATAGCTTTTTTTACTACAATTGACAAAGCAGCTTTTTCAATCAACCAACCACTCTTACAAGCAGCTTAGCTCAATATATATTGCAACCCACCCACTCACAAATCCTCTCTTCTTCATCTCTAACCGTTGACTCTATGCCATCAACGGCTAATATTTCATGTACGTATCAACCATTATTGTCAAAGCTACATCAACATCACCTATCTTCATGGCACATGCAAAATGCTTCACCTAATTAGGAATTCCTTCTTCAATTTTGCTGGTACACATCACTATTATTTCAACAACATTATCGGTTTCTTGTAACACAAGGGAGAAAAAAGAAAAAAACACGGTCTCTTGAATTCAATCCCTACTCTTTTTTTCTCTCTTAAATATCACCATATCACCAAACATGATTTTAGATATGCCGCACATAATGGCTTAAATATATTACTAGGAACATGCTAGAGTAATTTATCTCTCATATCCGTAATTAAGAAATTTTATCAGTCCGTACAAATGGTTGTAATGTTAGTAAAGTTTAGTTTATAATTAGCTCGAGTCTAATTATAGATTGCTTGTGAAGGATCAATAAGATAACTTGATTTCTGATTTTACATAATCATCTCATATAATTATATTTGATGTCACCTAAAATGAGACCACTAATTTACGCATTACTCTTGGATGATCATTTACGGCACCAACATAGTAAATATGTATGGTTATGCTATCAATGCTAGGTAAAGTTTGTACATGATTAGAGAAAAAAACATTTGATTAGCAGTATATTAGGTAAAGTTTGTAGTACGAAGGATACCTACCCTATAAATATAATAATACAAGTAGATACTTTGCAAAAATGCAACAGAACAAACCTTTTTTTTCCTTTTTTTTTAGTGTTGAAAGAATGATAATAGCCCACTGATAATGATGTCCAGATCAAAAAGCTAATTAATCTTTCCTTCAACAACCTCCATTTAGATGAAAACGACATTAATATTATAGTAATTCATCATAATCAATGATTTATTAATTTTTATTTTCTTATATATAAAAATATAAATTAAAAAAAAAAAAAAAATTAGTTCCAAGTTTGCAACATATTTCTTGTCTTGTTAGAAAACATTCAAAATCCCATGTGAAGTGCATAAGCCCCCATTAAGTAATTGGGTCCAGTTGTCGAAGCTACATATCCTAGATTTTGTCCCCAACTCTGAGTCACATATTTTTTTTAAATAAAATATTTGAAAACTCTTATTATATAAATTCAGATGAGAGTTCATAAGTTCATACAAAGTATAAGATTAGGGTTACCAAGGTCAATAAAAGGGTAGATAAGTTTAAAAGTTAAGATAATTGCTAGTTATGATAAATTTAAAACCAATAAAATATGTGAAATTCAGTTAAAATGAACACTACATTATCGAATTACTAAAATAATACAGAGTAATAACGACTATTACTAATACCCGTTAAAAATACCTTGTATCTCACCATACTAAGGGAAATGGGCAAAGTTTAGAAGTACTAGGTAACTCAAAAACGTTGTAAAGTGAAGACTTAATATTTCCCAAAATGGAAGGGTGAGAAAAGGGGGCCTAGCTGCTTGTTTGAAAGGGCAAACCGCATAAGGCAGATTAGATCCCCCTGTCTTCTTTGTGCTTATCATATAAGGAAGATAAGCACAAAGCCAGCTATGCATTAATTGACAACTTGACAACTTCCAATACAATACCATTGCTTCCATTTATAAGGAATCTTCATTAATTACGGAGAATATGAGGTCTCTACGTATTGAGCAATAGTGGTGTTATCCCTGTAACACCACGTCTGATCTAATTCCGACTACATTATTATATCAATAGTCGAATGATGATTATGATTGCTGTTACAATAATTGTCTTTAAGAGACTAACAATTATATAATCATATACTTGTAATTGTACAGAAGATTACAGGTAGATGGAATAAAGTTCAAGCTATCCAAAATACAGCAATAGAACAAGTGGGACAGAGGAACAAAGCAACAAAAGGATTCAAGCTTATCATTTACCAAGTTATAGAAGAAAATTTTGATATGTTTTCTAGAGAAATTTCGTGCCTGCTATCCTAATCATGTAACAGATGTCACACAGTTCTAATACAGTTCATACTTCCATTATTATGCGAAAATATCTTCATGCAATTTGGCAATGCTAGTTTGTAAGCATATAACAATGCTAGCTTCGAACACACACTTATCACTCGAGAAAGATTACAACCAGATTCGGACATTCAAGTATAGCCAAATGGGGTCGCGATCATGTTTAAGTAATGTGGATGGATTCGAGACAATGACGCATAAGATTAGACTTAGAACCTCTATGAAACTTCGGACTAAAACCACATTTAGCAACAATGTACTATACTAACACAAAAGCGCATGCATTATCGGAAAACAAAACAGATAACGACTATGAAGTGTATAGGTCATGTTGTACACATAAAGGATAATATAGAGCAAACAAGAGATTGTGAACAAGAAACTTGGTGTTATTGAATGAATTGAACACGGTATAATTTAATTGAATTGAAATGAAATGAAATAAACCGAAGTACTTATTGAATTGGTTCGTTATTATGAATTTATATAACTATAAGGATCATGTATAATTTTATTTTTTTTCTCGACCACTACTATTGACACTACATGAGGAGACTCCGAATGACAAACTGCTCAATGAGAGCTAAGAATTGTAGTAGACATACAGAGAGCAATCTTTGGCAGGACGAGTTTTCATCCTCGCTCTTTGAATCTGTGTCTCCACCTCCCCATTCGCAACCACAACCACATTGTCTCTCCTTGTGTATAAATGCTATAAGCAACACTCTTTCTTCGATTTTGATTTCCATCTTCGAGGTCTCCTTCATGTTCGATTGATTAATCTTCCTCCCAAAATATTTACTCAATAATCCAAATTCAAGGACGGCCAAAATTGCTGTTTAATTAAACAAGAAGAGCAAGAAGAAACTAGTTTCGCTTTCGCCAACGCTGCTGCCTATACAGAAAAACTGCAAGCAAAGGACACTGGATCATAGTACACAATGCCTATAACCAGAAACCTCTAACAAACACAATGTACAATGACTGACTGACTGAGAAGTTGATTTTAAACAAAAACTGATCCAATATTTCCTCCAAAAGCTTCTTAAAATCTCTACATAACCTCCCCTCCATTAGTCCACCAATCGAATCCGAATCGTAACACTCCAACCAATTTCTGCAACAACAACATCAATATTATAAATCAACACGAACACCAATTAAAAACAAAATCAAAATGCCAGTTCATTTTAACAACTTGAAAGCTCCACACCGCTAACAAACATCATAATTTCATTAAGTATATAGTTATATACTATATTTAGTTATAATATGGTCAATTTGTTTAGTAGGGTAGTATATTAAGTTCACTTAAAGCACAAAGCTGTCCATTAATTTAGGCAGACAGACTAGCAACTGATGACCACTTTTTCCTAGTCCTACCCAAAAAAAAACCAGCATGTTTAGAAACTTTTACTCCCTCCGACCCACGTTAGTTTTGACACACAAATTCAAACACCGTTAAATAAAAAAGCTACAAAATCATACTTTGGCAACAACATCAGCAATGGCCGTGATGGGATGCGTGGCAGCGACACACTCTCTCGGAGTTTCGAACAACGAGAGAGAAAATTGCTTATGAACAACACCCACATCGAAATAAATAACCCCAGAACTCGGAACATCGACTCGGATCCCTTTGACCGGAAACCATAAAAAGAGATCCTGAGCAGAAATCCCGGTCAAATTCCCGATCTGCCCGTAACTAATCTGACCGACAACATTCTTTTCATAGTGTAATTCACTCTCAAACTTCGCATCACAAGGTTGATCTAGGTAAACTTCAAACTTTCCATCTTCGGAAACCGAAAAATTTGTTATTCCTTTAGGAAACAAACCCATGGGTAGCCCTTCGTCCTCCAACACTTTGTATATTGACTTGCTATTTGAAATCATCTTCGTTGTCGCCGCCACCTCTGCTAATGTTATTACAATAGCTATCAATAACCATGCTGTATTAAATTTGGGCATCTTTATTTATTATTGGGTGTTGTGTAATCTTGATAGTATCATATAATAAAAATTTAAAGGGTTTTTTTTAGGGTTTAAGAATTATTTGAGGAGAGAGAAAAACAGGGGAATGGAAAAATGGAGAGAAACAGGGGAAGAAAGGAGAGAAGAAGAGAAGGGGGAGGAGAGAGAAACTTTTAGAGAGAGAAAGAGAGGGTGTGCCAGCAAGAGTACAGAGGGGATTAGGAGAATGATCAATTATTGGTGGTGAATGTGGGACCCTTTTATAATTTGTCCAATCCTCTACGACGAGTTCCACCATATCTTTCCTGTTAACCGACTGATTTTTGACACGTGTATTTTGAGGTATTTTTTATGGTGACGTGGATGTTAATTGGGTGACATGTGGTTACCTGTTTTGATGACGTTGGTAAATGGTGGGATTTTTTGGCATTTATCTTTTTTTTTTTTAATTGCGGGAATAATCAAGTTGGAAAATTGCTTCTCAAAAAAAAAAAAAAAAAAAAAGAGTTCATTTATTTTTTTAACGTAGGAATAATCGAGTTGGAAAATGGAAATTTTATTTTTAATGTAAATTATCTAGTCGGAAAAGGCTTCACAAAAACAAAGGAAAATTATTATTTTTTGGGAAAAATTTTTGGGATTTGGGTGAGAAAAACAGAGTGATTACAGGTGTAATTTACGGCGTTGACAGATGGATCCAAGGCATAATTATATAATTGGACTTTAAATTATTTTTGTCTTGTTTGCTTGTGTTTGTCAATGAGCATTATTAGCTGCATAATAATTGATGGCATTCAAATGGGATGTGGTTTATTATCAAGGTTTGATATTATTAATATATGGCATTCAAATGTGATGATGTTTATCTAAAGTCACCCATTTCCTGGCAAAAAAAAAAAAAGTCACCCATTTGAATGAGTACAAATACGTAGCTTATTGAAAAGATACAACATAAATATTAAGAGTTTACTCGGTGTAACTTAGTATTTCATATCGCCCTTGTGTCAAGAAAGTACCAATAAATTTGTCAAAGATATGCTTCTATATACGTAGTATATCTTACTGAAATGCTTTGCTTCCTTTTTTTAAGTGACAATTCAATAATTCACAGCAACGACATTTTGAAGTTACCTAAATTTTCCAATAAGAGTGAAATTTGTACATATATAGTGAAAGAAATTTATTGAAAATGAGTATGTGATATTTATACAAAATCTTAACACGTCTTTAACTCGTCCTCTAAACTGTAAGCATTTGCTGAATGAGGGTTTGCAAATCATTAATTGATTTGAAATTCTATTTATTGATTGGTGGTAATTTTAAGAAAAACTTAAAGTACAATTTAAACACGTAATCGTAAATTATATTAGTAATGATCTTATGCATCAATATTGTGGACATGAGATATATAATCAATACTAATAATACTCAAATATACAAATTCATCTAGTAATCTATTTGCTTCCTTATGGCAAACTCTTGTATTGCACCACATTGTCAAATAAAGATTTATTGTCATTCGTAATTAGTTGAATGATTCATAAATCCAATTAAATCCTAAAAATACTAGTCGGAATTTAATCATCCTTTTCAATCCAAATATTTGAATTTACCAATTCCTTTGCCTACAAGAAACTACTTCATACTATTATAAAGAAAATGATGTATTATTTGTTTTAAAATCGATGAATTTTGGTGGAGGTCATGGAAAAGTTCTTGTATTATCCCTCTCGACTCTCAAGTGTTAATCTATGTTACCAAGTTAAATAATATGTAAAAGGTGCAAAATAAACTACACAATAGAAATGAATATGAACAAATCATCGTATTCCTTTTCGGAGGTGGGGAGGGTAGAGAGAAAGAGCATGTGAGGACAGGGAGAACGAGGGCGTGAAAATAATGATGATTTTGTCTTGACATGATACACTGCATAACCTTTTTTTATATATAAAAACATGCAATTTGACAATATATACTCATCAAATAAATACCCTTTAAGATTAATGGATTACTTTATATAGTATTTTACTCTAAAATGATTGGTCAGCTATTGCCAATTAGCAAGCTAATATGAAATTAGTTAATTAGCCAATAGGAGCTGGTTCAACACTTCCAACTTCTGAATTCGTCAACTCTATTTTTGATAATAACATATTTATGGAATAATAATACATTAATACTAAACTAATCCATATTCTTAGATATATTCCTATTTCCTAGTAGTATGTGATACTCCCTCCATATTAAACAAATAAACATAGGCCCTGTTATTTAGAGCTGATCTGCTCTGTTCTGCTCTGCTGATTCCTACTCTGCTTAAAAATAATAGTATATATTGAATTATTATAATAATTAATATTTAATAATAATAATAAATAATTAATATTTAATAATTATAATTAATATTTGATAAAGGATCGTGGTTCTGATGTTGGTCTTTCTATGTTGTTGGTGGATTTTTAAAATGCTTTCAATCTAGTTGATCGTATAGTTATGTTACGTGAAGTTCGTCGTCGGTGTCCGGGCATTTCGCTATGGATTGAATTCTGCTATTTTAATCCAGCCAAATTTTATTATGGGGACCACTCCTTATGGTCGTCTCAGGGGGTGCATCAGGGTGATCCCCTTGGTCCTCTTCTTTTTGCTTTGGTTTTACAACCCCTGATGTGTAAAATTAGAGACACTTTTGATGTATGTCTTCAGGCCTGGTATTTGGATGACGGTACTGTAATTGGTGACACGTTGGTGGTGGGAAGGTCCTGCGGTTGATTATGGAGGAAGGACCTCGTTTTGGGTTACATCTTAATGTGGAAAAAACTGAAGTTTTCTGGCCTACAGAAGACCCTCGAAGCAAGCTTGTGGGTGTTTTTCCGCCTAATATTGCTTGACCTTTGTGCGGTGTTAAGTTGTTTGGTGGTCCCGCTAATTCTGATTCCGGTTTTAGTGGTGACCTTGTAATGCAGAGGGTGACCAATCAAGACCATTGCGCTTATGGATAAGGTTGCTATGGTTGATGATCATCAATGTGAGCTATTGTTACTTAGGGCATGTACCGAAGTTTCTAAACTCTACTTTGCATTGCGTACTTGTCCTCCTAGTACTTTTGAGACGGCTCAGTGCACATTCGACGGGCCTCTTCGATCTTCCTTGGAGCGTATTGTTACTGTTTCAGGGCCTGGTCTTGGCGATTAGCAATGGCGGCTTGCCACCTTACCATTTGCGTTTGGAGGGCTTGGGGTATATTCCGCAGGTGATGTTCGTCATTATGTTTTTCTTGCTTCTCGATTAAAGTCTGCTGGCTAGTGAGGTCACTGCCCCTAAACTCATGAATAAATTGGCAGATATATATTTCACAAAGGTTACCGCTTCTGCAGAATCCGTCTTTTTTGTCTCCTCGGCAATCAGCATTGTGGAAATCGCAGCAGGGAGATCACACCTCTGCTTGGCTTCGGGCAGTCCCTATTTCTGGGTTGGGTCAGACGATGAACGCAAAGACCTACCAATGTGTGTTGTGCTACCGAATGGGTGTTCCATTGTTCTCTATCTTGACGCCGTGCTCTGCTTGTTCTCGGGTTTTTACTGGGGAAATTTTCGATGATCACGTGGTATCGTGTGCTGGTATTGTGGGTATTTAACATCGGCATAATGTTGTACGGGATACCCTTGTTGATATCTGCTACAGATTTGCGAGTTCAGCAAGAAAGGAGGTTGACATAGGGTTGTCTGGAGGGAATGACGGGGCCCTCAGACCTGCAGATGTGTTACTTTATTCCTGGGATCGTGGTCGCAATGTATGTGTGGACTTAACAGGGTCTTCTCCTTTGACACAGACAAGGCTATCCGACTTTGTTCCTGGACGGGTTGTGGCTAATGCGGCTCATCGGAAGCGGGTAAAGTATGAAGCTAATTGTCGGCTGATTGGATATGGTTTCATTCCCACTACTAGAAATAGGCCGTTTTCCGACGGATTTGTTCTGACGGACTTAAATTCCGTTGGAAAATTCGAATATTCCGACGGAATTTTAGTCTGTCAAAAAAATCCGTCGGAAAATATATGTTGCGACGGAAATATTCCGACGGATTTTTTATCCCTCGGAATTTACAGCTTCCGACGGAATATTCCCTCGAAAAATTTCTATGGGAAAAAGATTCCAAGGGAAAAAAATCTGTTGGAACATATTAATTTCCTATGGTTTTAAATCCGTTGGAAATTTCCGACGGAATTTAGGCCTTTTCCGACGGAATTTTATTTTTAAATAAAAAAAAAATTGAAAAAAAATCAAACCTAAATCTAAATCTCAAAACACGGCACCCCCCCTTCCACCTAATTCTCTTTCCTTTCCTATTCTCTCTCCACGCCCCTCTTCTTCTTCCTCTTCTCTCTCCTCTCTTCTTTCTCTTTATTTCCCTCACCTCCTCGCTTGTTCTTCTTCTTCTTTCCCTTTAATTTCCCTATTCTTCTTCTTCTCTTCTCATCCCTCCTTTTCTCATCCCTCCTAAATCTAAAAACACGGAAGTCACAAAATACCACCACCACTGCAACGAACAACCACCGTCTGCAACAACCGCCAAGAAGAACACCACCGCAACAACCACCGGCTACATCAAGGCCGCGCAAGAACACCACCACCACAACAACCTCCGACAACACCAACATTAAAACATATCTACATTTAATTTTGGTTAGAATTAGATCTAGTTTTATTTTGTTCAAATTTTCAATGTATAACTTTTTGTTTTTGAAATAATTGTATATTTAAGTTAAATTTTTACTAAATTTCGAATTGTTAAATTTCAATGTATATTTTTGTTAAATTTCGGACTATGTTGATTTTAGATCTATTCATTTCATTTTTAATTTCTGTTTTTTATTTTATGTTATGAATTTTGTTTTTTTTTTCACGGGTTAGGGGTTTTTTTGGTGGGTGGCGAGGTGGGTTCGGGTTGGTGGGTTATGGTGGGGTAAACCGGGTTAGGCGTGGGTGTTTAGGTTGTGGTTAGGCGGTGGTGGGGTGGGTTAGGGGGTGGCTAATGGGGTTACGGTGGTGTGGTGGGGTGGGTGATTGGTTACGGTGGTGGGGTGGGTAAGGGGGTGGCTAATGGGTTACGGTGGTGGGGTGGGGTGGGTTACTATTTTTTTTTTTTTTTTATTTACTTTTCCAACGGAATATATCGCCTCCGACGAAAAATTCCGTTGGAATATCTCTCCCACCGATGGAAATTTCCGTCGGAACATGTCCCACTCCGACGGAAATTTCCGTTGGAACCTTGCGACGGATTTTCACTTAAAGTCAACAAAAGCGCCGACAGAACATA